GCCCCGGCCGTGAAGTAGGTGAAGGCGGCTGAGTTGGCGACGAGCTCGGTGACAGCCAACAGCAGCATGGGCTCGTGTGCCGTGGGCAGTGTCATGGGCAGGGGCGTGGGCAAAGCCACGGGCAGTGCCATGGGTAATGCCACAGGCAGCCCTACAGGCAGTGCTGAGGGTCTCTGCTGGTACGAGCCCACCCTGAAGATCTCTCCCTGCACAGACACACAGACGGATGTGAGGATCAGCCAAGACCCCTGTTCCCAAATCTGGCCCAGGGATGTCCAGGATGACATTACCTTGAGGGCAAAGTCCCCGTACTCGTCTGTGAAGGCCGGTGGTCCCAGCAGGGAGTGGTCAATGGCAGCAAAGGTGTCCAGCTGGGTGGACACTGCAGGGACATGAGGGTGGTCAGGAGGAGTCAGACCACCAGCCCCCTCCCACAGCCTGGCTCCGTCAGTATCCAGCCCCACAGGAGTCCTGCAGACCCTGCTGGGCATCAGTCCTGTCCACAGCCCTCTAGGACCCTGTCCCCAGTCCTGGGGTCCCCTCACCCACCTTTCATATGCTTCAGGACAGCGTCCAGCCTGTCAATGCCCCTCTGGAGCACGAGGCAGAGCTGGAAGCAGAGCAGGGTGTCAGTGAGCCCAGGGATGAAGGTCTTCAACCCTCTCCCTGGGCTGGGGGGGACAGGAACACCAACACACCAGGGCACAGGGGCCAAGCACCCACCTCCTTGTTCAGCTGCTGCCGCAGGGTTCTCTGGAGCAGAGGTGCCAGCAGGTTGTAAAGCCAGCTGTAGGGCAGAGTGGAGTGCTCAGATCACCTCATGACACCCACCCAGCCTCCCCCAGCCCACCACCATGGCTGGGGCACTAGTAGTCCTTGCATGCCAGGCACAGGACAGAGCAGGGGGCTTGGCATCACCTGTAGCCACGGTGAAACTCCATGTGCAGGTCAGTGCCACGGGTGTCACAGCCAGCGTTCCAAACCGTGGGGTGGCCACTGCCATCCTCACTCACCCCCAACACCGCTGCCACTGCCAGGTCCTGCATGCGGAGCTGCACAGAGCCGCTGTCCTGGCTGGGGACAGAGTGGGTGAGCACAGGAACAGCACTGACATTCAGCCACCCCGAGTCCTGTCCCTGTCCCCATGAGGACTCACATGGCGCCCAGCTGAGCTGCCCAGTCGGCGCTGAGCTGGATTCGGGCACGCTGCACCATCAGCCTCACCCCCACGTCCTCGGCAAAGTCCAATGTGGATTCATTCATCTGCAGCTCATGGATGTGAATCCTGCACAATACAGGCAAGTTGTGCTTGCGGCTGTGGCACAGACAGGGATGGGGACAGGGACTCCACAGATGGCTCTTACCGTGGCACAGTGTAGGTGAGAGTTCCCAGGAGCGGGGTGTTGTAGGAACCTGTCAGGTTCAGCTCATGCTCCTTCTGCAGCATTGACTGGAGCAGCTCCAGCCCAAAGCTTCGGCCTGGGGCAAAGTGGGAATTTGGGGTGACACCAAGGAAGGGGCTGGGGTACTTGGGGTGTCAGGAGAGTGAGCAGCCAGGTCCTTCCATCCCCCATTCCTGGCAGACTTGGCATCATTCCTGGGGATGCCTACTGGTTCCCCTCATTCCCTATCCTTAGCTGTCTGGGCATCATCCCCCACTGGTCCCCCCTGCCCCTGCCTACTCAGGAGCACAGACTCACCGAACTCCAGTGTCCTCCGGGTCAGCCAGGCCTTGATGCCAGGGTTGGTGCTGGGGCTGGTGGCAGAGACACAGATGGGCAGCAGCAGCAGCAGGAGGCAGAGCCACACAGTACCTCGAGGCTGGTCCTGGGACTTGGAGGCTGGAACAGAGGACATGTTTGGAGGACACACAGCTGGTGGAGAGACCCCTTTTCTGTGCACCAGCACAGCCAGGACTTATAAGGGGACAGGGAGCCCCGGGTGACATCAGCACACATGGGAACATCACAGTGCTCTGGCCACCGAAAGCCCAGCCTTGCCTAATACATTACTCAAAGGGGAAGCCGGATCCCCCATTGTTCCGCACGTGTTCCCATCGGGGGATCGAGGGAATGCACCCCCTGCCAGCCCCCTACCCTGGGGTACACACGAGCCAGGGACACCAACTGGGGGTCCCCACAGGGGCACAGGACCAGCATGTGGGGACACACAGAAACCCCGCTGGGCCAAGGTCACAAAGAGCTTCAGCTGTGCCCTGCCTGGGAGCAATGGAGGAGTGGGGGACGCAATGAGCTGGTCCAGGGACAGGGGGCTTGCACCAGGGCAAACAGGGCCCAACACATTTACACCAGGGAGCAGCAGCTCTTTCCACGTTGGGAAAAGCTCTGGGAACCCTGTAGAGCTAGTAGTAGGGCTACTTAAATTTCAGTGGGGATGAGGGTGTCCAGGGTGTGGGGGCAGCCCCCAAGGAAGTGATTGAAAGGTTGGGACAGCCAGAGGGAGAGCAGAACTGTGCAATCCCTTCTGAAAAACCCCAGCTGTGTAGTTTGCACTGCCAAACCCGCCATCAGTGGGACTGTCCCCTAGCCAGGGTGAGCCCCTACAGTGCCATGGGCTACAGATGACACGGGTGCAGCTGCCCTCCTGGATCCAGCCTGGCAGACACAGAGGTACTTCTAAGAGGGCCAGGGCCTCATCTCAGCACCACAGGGACATATAGAGCCCATGTCAACCTCACAGAGGGACCACAGCCCCACATAATGTACCTTATGGAGGCCTTGAAAGCAGCAGCCCACTGGCCCAGGATGCCCACTGCCACCAGCTATGGCTGCAGTGGTGGCTGGAGTCCCCAGCAGTGACCCAGAGGCCATCACTGACCCTGACCCCCAGCCCAATGCCCACCACAGCCCCTCGATCCCAGGGTGCCTCTGCCCTGCACCAGCACTCACCGTGCCAGGTGGGTGCAGTGCCCCACACCACGAGGGCCGCAGGTCCTGCCATGGGTCCCAGCTCCTCCGCGTCCCTGAGACTGAATGTGGCAGTGAGCAGCAGGGACCAGCTCTGACGCCAGTGTCCATCTCGGCTCCTGGTCAAACCACAACGTCACCCATTTCCCCGTCCCTAATCCCTTCCGGGATGAATCAGGTCCCATGAAAACACCGAGGGACCGGTTGGGGCGCAGGTGCCCGGGGGCTGGGCGCTCCCTGAGGCTCTCCGGTGCATCCTGGTGCTGCCACATCCGGCATCCCGACACGTGCGCGCGGCTCAGCCCTGCCAGCCCCTTTCCAGGCCTGGGCTGGCTCCGTCAGCGCCTTCCCCAGCTCTGCTGTGCCCGGTACCTGCTGGTACCGCGTCCCCTGAGGAGGGGTTGACGACCAGAGCTGTATCGCGAGGGCTCGGTCGTGGGGCACACAGGGCTTGGAAAAGGCTCAGGCAGAGACGTGGGGACACACATGGACACACACATGGACACACACGGATCCCTTCTCCCCGCCGCTCCAGCGGGAGCTTCCACATCAGGAGGCAATGAACAGGTACGGACGGCACCCGCGAAGACGGCACGGGAAGAGCCCCAGCGCCTCCCGCGCCACCCCCGGCCCGAGCAGAGCCCCCAATCCCGGTTATCCCTGTCCGGAGACCTTCCAGGCTACTCCACAAGGCCGGCCCTGGCCGTGCAGTGCGATCGGGCACCGGGAGAGGGACCCACCGCCCCGTCCGTGCTCTGGACGGTGGAGGAGACACCGGTGGGGACGATAAAGAGGACCTAGGGAATGATGGAGGGAACCCATCCAATCATGATAAGCTCATCCACAGAGACCCAAAGCCCCCACCCCGCTACGTGTCCCCTGCTGCTGTGTCAGCCAGGACAGGGGTGGCAGTGTCTTGATACCCCAAGTCACCTGTCCCCTACACAGGCCCTGCCAGGGGATCTGCTAGGCTGGGAAAGCACGAGTGGGCACGAACAGGCATGGACACACCTGGACACACTCGCAGCTGTGAACTGTGCCTGGGAACACGCAAACACAAAGAGTGTGTAGAGCCTCACACATGCACACACCTGTGCCCAGGGCTGGTCAATGCCTTCCAGCCCCAAATCTCTTGGCTGCAGGACCCTGGGGAGAAGGGGCACCACTAGAGCAACAAGATCCCTGCCAGGGACCCCAGTTTTCCCCTGCCAGGCCCATAGGAAGGTCTGAACAGATCTGGAACAGGAGGCTGTGAGGTCTTTGGGGTGTTTGTGAGTCACAGGGAAGCTCAGGTCAGCTGCCCGGGGCACCCCCAACCTCGGGGTTGCACAACCCCTGATGCAATTTCCTTGTCCCAAGAGGTTGGTTGTCCCCACAGGCAGGGGTTGCACCAGGAAGAGCAGGAACCACAAGGGCGGGGCCACAGAGAGAAGCACCCCAGGACTTGTATCTGCTTTCCCCTGTAAAGGGATCAATCCTTGCATCATCACTCTTGTAATCCCCCAGTCCTGACACAGCAACAATTGTGGGAAGGGAAGGCTGCTGGGTGCAGGTGGCCCAGCTGGGAAGGGGAGTGAAGGGAATTCCAGGCTGCAAACACACCACTGTCCAGGGAGATGGGGAAACCACACTCCCATCTGGACATAGAACCCCACACCTGGCTGATAGCACTGCCGCCTCTGTCATCATCCCATCAAGATGCCTGATCGGAGGAGATGCAGCCCAGCGCTGCTGCATTATCCCACCACAGAATATAGGGTGCAAACAATCTTTCCTCCTGTGTCTGATCCTCAACACCCCATGTCAGAGCCCAGGGAGTGAAACCCCAAAGGAACCACTGGAGAAGTTCTCTATGGCAGCAATGCTGGGACACAGGGAATTGGGACCAGCCTGTGAAAAACCCCTTCCCCAGCACTACCACAGGGACCCAGACCCTGTATCCCCCAGCACACCCACCCAGCCCACAGTGGTCTGCACAACTTGCCTCGCGTTTGATGGGGCACATATCCCCGGGGCTAAACACGCTCAAAACTGAGGGGAGGTGGTGTGAAGGGCAGGAAGAAAACGCACATGTGGTCATCAGGGCTTGTTTAATAACAAAACTCCAGCTATTGTAGAACAATATTCTCCAGCATCATTGTAATATACAATACGGGGAATGCTCTCAGCAATCTGAGAAGGAAGGATCCGGCCCACAGCATCCCCTGCCCAGGCTGCGGGGGGACCCCGCCGGGGAGCCAGGGATGCAGGTGAGCCGCAGTTCTCAAAGACGGGGTCCCGGGGACGACGTTCGTGGTGGGACCGGGATCCCGGGGAAGATGTCCGTGGAGGGTCCAGAGCGGTCTCAGCGGCAGAGGATTCGATCGGCAGCGGGAATGCACGGAGCCTGCGGGAAAGGGACACGAAGTGGCCGGTCAATAGTGGCCAGGAGTGTGCCGGAGAGGACGGGGATGGAAAGGGGGCAGGAGGAAGGGAAATCCCCGGTAAGGAGAGGGCGCGGTGCAGATCGAGGGAAGGAGATTCCAAGGAACGTCGGGGCTGCCCGTGAGGAGCCCGGTCTGAGCCGGTGCCGTGGGGTCCGCACTCACCTCGGAGGAGTCCCCAGCAGCGGCGGGGCGGGGGGGGCCGCACTGCAGCTCCAGCTGCAGGTCCCAGATGTAATCGATAACGTGCTGCAGCAGCTCCACCTTGGAGACCCGCCGGTGCCGCGGCAGCGTCGGCACCAGCGCCCGTAGCCGCGAGTAGCAGCCCTTCATATCGTACAGCAGCGCGGCGGCCGCCTGCTCCGCCGCCACCGGGGACACTCCTGGGCCCGGGCCGCAGCGGGCGGCCTCTCCGGGCCGCACGGCCTTCAGCGGGCCGCCAGCACCCGCGGGCAGCGGCGAAGAAGCGACAGCGGCGACCTTCATGGCGAGGGGCTGCGAGAGCGATGGGCACAACGGGGATGCTGCGGGCGGACAACGAGCCCGCGCCCCGCCGCGCCTCTTATAGAGCGCCGCCGATGGATGGGCGGGGCCTCGGGGAACCCTCGGCCAATGGTAACGAAGAAAGAGCGGACACAGCCCCGCCCACTCCATTCATGCGCCCCGAAGGGCAGCGTCTTAAAGGGGCAATGGCGGGGATAGAGCTGTGACCTGTGACGGGTTTGGGCTGCAGTGCAGGGACACCTCCGCAGGAGCGGAGGGTACAGGGGTGCGGAGCGCCCGCCCTGCTCCGCGTTTAATGGCGGTGCTTGCCCCGCCGGCTCCCGGTGTCGGGCTCTCGGTGTGGGGCTCCCCGCAGCCCTACTCGCCTCTGGCGCCCTCCAACCCCCCGGGCCCCCCCCGCACTCCCCGCGCCCCTCCCGTCTCCGCGGCGGCTCAGACCGTGAGACGCCAGGGTCGTGACGTCACCCATTCATAAAACCCCGCGCGCTGTCAGCACGGCGCCGGGCGGGCGGTGCCCATGGCGACGGGGGCGGGGCGGGGGACACACACCTGCAGCCCCTGCGGGGGGCACCGGGACCCCCACGGAGACATCGCCACCCCCACAGGGACACCGGCACTCCCGCGGAGACACTGGCATCCTCACGTGGATACGGGGCACTAGGACGTTACAGGAGGCACAGGGACGCCCGGGGACATCTGCACTCTCACGGGGACACGGGGGCACCGGGCCCCACGGTGGCACAGGCACACGGGCATCCCCACAGGGGGCAGCCCGTGCTCCGCGCCTCCCGCCCCAAGTTAGGAGTTCCCCGTTTCCCCCGCCTTCCCGGGCCTCAAACCTCCGGAGAGCTGCGCGGTGGCGGCTGCCGGGGCGGGGGTCGCCTGGTTCGCGTCCACGCGAGGGACGGGCAGAGGGATCGAGCCCTGGGTGCGTGGGGCGGCGCGAGGAGTGGGCTGCGAGCACGGTCCTGCCGCGGGGGAAACCGGTGGAGGTGCCGCCACTGTGCGAGGCAGCCGGTTCTTACCCTGAAGAGTTTCTGGTCCGGGCTGTAATTAGCGTTAGTGCTAATTACCCCGCACCTGCGGGGAGGGCAGGCAGCGCCCGGGGAGGGCCCCCGAGCGAGACCCCGGCACACCCTGAGCAGCACGGAATGGTGTGGGAAGGGAGGGAGGAGGCAAAGCTGCAGCCTCAGACACTCCCGGGTGTGTGTACAGACACAGACACGCAGGGTGGGTGTGTGCACAAAGGCATGGACACACACGTGCTTGCACACACAGATGCGTGTGGTACATACCCGAATATGTGCACAGGAGGATTCACAAGCATGCACAAACCTGTGGAGCGCAAACACAGCCACAAGTATACGTACACAACAGAGGCACACACGGGTGGACGCACATACAGGCGCACACACATATGTACACACATGCACGCTCATGCACACATACATCCTGCCTTGCATACTAACACGTGTGCCCAAGTGTCAGCGCAGCTCTCCCAGGCCGTTATAGGGTTGGGCTGGGGGGCGGGGGGGAGACCCTGCTGCAAGTCCCATGGTATTCAGGGAGCTGAAAGCCTCTCCCGCTTCTTCCTCTTCTGAGGAGGGCATTGCTGCCCTGGAGAGCACAGATGAATTCCAACCGTGCCAGCCTGGCTGGGGGGAGCTAGGTCCCCCTGTCCCTCCCTCTGTCCCTCCTCCCTGCGTCCCCCAGCCTGGTGCGGTGGCGGTTCCCAGGGTGGGCACGGCTCTGGGGTCGCCCCCTCCATTCAGGGCTCGGCGGAGGGCCCGGTGCTGCCCGGTTCCCACCGCGGCTCTCAAAGCTGCTAATTAGCCCCCATCTGGCGGCAGTGGCCGGGCCGCGGCGGGAGGCCGGGGACATTGTGCACAGGAATGTCTTTCAGGGCCGCCGGCCGGCCGTCGCCACCGCCAGCTGCGCAGCCAACAATGCCAGGACGAGCCGGACCCCGCGCCCCTGCCACCGGCCACCCTGAGTGACGTGGGGACGTGGACAGATTTGGTAGCCGTGGTGGGTGTCGTGGTACACGTGGCACAGCCGCCCTGGCATTGCCACTCCAGTTGCCCCAGCCCATGGGACGCCCCCGAGAGCAGGACACCCTCACCCCATTCCTCTGCATGTTGGGGTGCTGGGGATGGGGTGCTGGGGTCAGGGCTGCCAGTCTGGCACGGGGACACTGCCTTGGCCACAGCTGGCCGAGGGGTCCCGGCCTGGCACGGCGTGCTGGCCGGCGCAGCAGTGTTGTCCGGCAGAACACAGAGCTTCATTTCCATCTCAATTCTGGGAACGGGGCGCGCGGCGCGGTAACAGCAGCCTCGGCCATATGGTGCTGGCGGGGCTCAGCCCGGCCGGGGGGGCAGCCGGGGGGCGGCTGCTTTGCGCTGAGCAGGGGTTGCCCGGCAGCCGAGGACATCAAAGCCCCCGGCCGCCCCCGCCCCACAGGGACCACACAGGGCACGGCCACGCCAGGCCGCCGAGGGGCCGTGGGGCTGCCTGTGCTGCTGTGGTGGGGGGGACAGGGTACAGCCGGCACCCCAGAACCGGCAGCACCCGATCCCGCACTCCGGCATGCAGGGCTGGAAGACAGCGCGGACACCGCGGGTCAGGCTGGGCCCGCACCAGTGACCAGGACCCCCAAACTTGGGCTGCTCCTGCCCTGGCTGGGGTTGGGCTCCATTCAGATCCTCTCTCCCGCTGCCATCCGCAGGTCACCCCTGAGGCTACACAGAGTCTCCAACCCCCCATGTCCGCATGACAGTGCTGAGCCAGGGTTGCAGATGTGCCGGGGCCGCCGGCACAGCTGGAGCGGGGCCGAGGCCTGAGAAAGCCCCTGCGCATTCCCCTCCCGCCTTCTCCCTTCCCGTTCCCAGCTTCCATCCGCTGCAGCCCAGACCAGCTGGAGCCAGGCAGCCCTTCCTGGGATTTATTCCAGCTTCCTGCCCCTCCTCGTTGGCCGGCCGGGGCTGGGGCTGCCTTGGGCTGCTTCCTCTCCCTGCTCGCAGCCGCCGGCCGGGCGCCACTGCCAGTACCCATCATCACACGGGACCCCAGCTCTCACCACCAGCACCCACCACTCCTGGGACTCCAGAGCTCATCACCAGCACCCATCATCACAGGAAAGCATCCCCCACCCTGCATGGTAGAGCATGAGGTGCAACTGCAGCACCCATCACCCATCATCACCCACCTGCACCCCTGCTGTGGTGGGGAGGCCCCACAGGACTCTAGAAAAAAGCAGCCTTGGTGTCCCCCTCACCCCAGGCACCAGCACTCCACAAACATGAAACCACCCTCCCTTTGCCTGGTGTTTGTATCCTGTGCACCCCCATCTCAGCCCATCCCACCCCACTGCAATTCCTGGTGGAAGCTTGGCACAAGGGGCGTGTGCCCGGGAGCTCCCCTGGCCAACGGGCATCAACCCCACAGCCTGAGATGCCATGAGTCAGTCATCCCAAAGCCCACATCTGCTGGCAGCAGAACAGGCAGCTTTGGCCCCTGCCCTAGCTGGGTGCAGTTAAGTGGACAGAGGTTTCCTGCCGGAGTCGGCACATCCATCCTTCCGCAGCCCCCACCGAGCCGGAGGGACCCTGCCGAGAGGGGAAAGTGGCCCAGCAGTGCTCCAGACACAGTGGAGCCGTGTGGCCTCGGCCCTGCCGGGACCGGAGGTGCCACAGGCCCAGGTGCAGCAGGCGAGCAGGGACCGGGGAGTGCTGAAGTGCTGGCTCCACTGGCGGCTCCTTGCAGGGCCCAACACACTTCCTTCCTCCTGGCCAGCCCTGGCTTATCGGCCAGGCAGGGTGAGGGGTGACCCCGCTCTCCCCTTCCCAGGCCTTCCGCTCCCTGCAGCCCTGGGAAAGCTCCCAGCCACACTTCCACCACACCTACAGCAGGCAAGAGCTGCTCAGAGCTCTGCAGGGCAGCAGGGAGGCAGGAGGGTGATGCTGACCACCCCCCCCCCCTATGCACCCCCAGCCTGCTCCTGCCCTCTTGGGGCCTCTGGAGGCTGCATGGGGATGCAGCTCCTACCACCCGAAAGCCAGGGAGGATGCAGAGCTTCCTAGGATGCAGTGCCAGCCCCACACCAAGGGACACACTAGGCTGAGGAGTGGGGTCCTGACTCAGGGTAGGGTCCTGCACCCCACAGCAGAGCCAAAGTCCTTTTCCACGGAACACTGGAGACTGGTGAAATCACATCTGGAGTCTAGACTCAGTGACTCGGTGGGCTGGGCCTGGCGGCCGCGCTGTACCCAGACCCTGCTGCACACTGTTTGCTTAGCTGGAGGTATTTAATTGGAATTAAAGTGGCCCCTCTTGTTTTTGCGGACAGGGCTGTTGGAAAAGGAGCTGTAAGTCATAGAAAACATCTGTAGGAGCCTGCGAAGGGTCATTAGATGGCAGAACGCAAGGCGCCACTTTTAGTGCTCGCAGCCGGCGCAGGGAATAATGGTTCAATACGGCTTTTGTGGAGGAGCTGCCAAGCCAGCAAACACTTTCTATTTATTCTGGCAGTGGGCATGGCCAAAGGGATGCAGGATCCTCTACATGTGGGCCCCCAGGAGGGGTAGGGAGGACACTGCCAGTGCTGCAGGACACAGGGCAGCTGGTCCCAGTGAAAGCCGAGCTTTGGAGCTGCCCCTGCCTGCAGGCCCTCCAGCCCCCATGCCTGCACAAGCATCCTCTGCCTATCCCAGCCCCAAAGGGTGCAGGATGGTGCCTGGCTCCCTGCAAGGAAGGGGGACAATCCATGCTGTCCTCACCCTGCTTCAGGACTGGGTTTAGGGTCACCTACCCCTACCCCTCCCATTCCTGCTCCCCCAGGCCATGGGGCGTTTTCCTCAGATGCTGAGACAGAGAACGTCCCCACCCTGTGGGGTTCCTGCATCCCAAACCCTGCTCAGCCACCCTTCTCTGAGGCTAGACCCTGGCTTGAACCCAGTGAGTGCTCAGTGACTCCGGCCCTAAATCTGGATATTGCAGAGCAGGGACCAGGCTGAGAGAAGGCCCAGTGCCAGAGAAGTGGGAGGGGGAAGGGGACGGTCACTTGGTCACTTGGAAACAGGCAGACAATGGCCACTGGCCCCACTGGGAGAAGGCGGGTGAGCTGGATGCCAATCCCAGTGCCGGCTGGGTGGCTGAGCAGGGGCATGGCCACACCAGCACTCCTTCCTTCAATATGGTTTAATATGAGAGAAAGCAAATGCACAATACAAAATTTAAAAACCGGCATACATCGATACCCCACCTGGGTGGCTGCTCCAACACACACAACACGATGCTCTTGCACAATTGTTTCGTCGTCTGTCACTTGCAGAGGGTCTTGAAGGGCCCCGGCCCAGCAGCACTGGGCATGGCCCACGGGCAAGGTCACTTCTCCTTCTTGGAGGCTTCTGTTGGCTCTTCTTTGGAAGCCCCTGGTGCCTCCTTGGGGGTTGAGCTCTCCTCGTAGCTGGGGACAAGAGGGACATGAGTGGGGCCAGCTCTTCCCTGGGGACAGATCCCTGTGTCATGTGGGGACAGCCCAGCCTGTGGACTTGGGTTCTGCCCTGCTGCTGTTGAGGACAACGTGGGCTCCAGCCACCAGCCCCCAGGGGCAGAACCCAGCCAGGGAGAGGAGGGATGCATCCCCCCCAGATATGTCCAAGGATAGGGGGGACCCAGTCAGGGGCCAGCTCTGTGCCCGGGCATCTGTCCTTGTTCCCAAGAGCACTACTGGATATTCTGGATAGCACATGCTTTCCTTGGCTAAGCACTGGTGCCAGCAGGGCTGGTTAAAAAGGGAACTGCAGCAAGACCAACAGCAGTGCTCCCTCCCAAAGTCTCACTCCTCTGGCTGCAAATCCCCTCCAGCAGTGGCCCCAGGGCTCTGCCTAAGGAAATGGGATTGCTGCTCTAAGCAGAAAGGGCAAGGTCTGGGATGTCAAATCTTGCCCTTCCCAGTCTCCTCTCTCAGAATGGGAGAGAAGCTGGCCCACAGCAACGCAGCAACAGCTCCAGCCTCTGCCCACCGAGTGAGGAGAGCTGGGAATAGGGAGAGCTTGGGCCAGGAAGAGCCAGGACCTGCCCCTACCTGGCCAGAGCGACAGACAGGGGCCCCGGCGGCAGTGGCTACATGGCACTAGGGCTCTGCTGCCGGCGTCGGCGGGGACAGGACAGTTTCTGCTGCATGGAATCAGCCAGGCTGGCCGGCGAGCCAGACACCGTGGGGAAGTGGGTAAGTCTTGGTGTGTGAGGCAAGATTTCAGCAGAGGATTCATAGCTGCAGGAGAGAGGAAGCAGGAAGGGAAAGACAAGGACAGAAAGGAGGGAGGGGAGAGAGAGAAAAAGCAGAAGAGTTTTGGAGTGAGAGCACCGAGAACGCACCGCCCTATGCAGGAAGCCTGGCATCTCTCTTCACCTGCTCGCACCCGCTGGCCTCTCCTTGCCTGCAGACTCCAGGACAGGGCTGCAGCATGGAAAAGTAAGCACTGAAACTCGGAGATGAGGCAGCTCCCACTGGCATGAGCAGAGCCACGCAGCCAGAACCTAGGGAGAGCAAGCCTAGGCAGTGGGGAGGTGGCAGTGGAGCAGCCCAGGGGCTGGGCAGGTGACAGAGAGATGCAGCAGACCATGTCCTGCCGCTCGAGGACAGCGTGCCCACAGCAGGATGGGTTCCCACTGCTGAGGGAGGCAGAGTGGAGCTTCCTGCCTAGCCTAGGGAGGCTTGGCAAGGCTGAGAGCCATGGAGCTGATCCCAGTGTCATCGACCCCTGCTCCACCAGCACCCCTTCCCTGGGCCTGCAGCACAGATCTGCTCACTCCCACTCTGCCTGCAGACCCTCACTGCTGTGAGACACCATGTGCAGGCAGAGACCACAGGAACTGCCAGCTCCAGGAGGGGATCAGGGTGCACCAAAGCAGCACAGCAGAGCTACACCTGGTGGGATTCCTGTGGTGGGAGCCACTGCCCTCCAGGCATTAGTCCCTCTGAATCCCACTTCCTCTGCCTGCAACTGGAGCCACTTCAAGGGAGGTCTGGCCCCCAGGGGCCATCAAGTTTGCAACCCTCCAGCATCCTGCCCTTGCCCCAGCAACACTGTGCTGCTGGAGCACCTTGTGCTACTGCTCTGAGAGGGCACTAGCCCCTGGCTGCCAGGCTCCCTGCACTCCTTGCTGCCCAATGGGCCCAGCCTCACAGCTCATCTCTCCCCAGTTTCCTGGCAGGAGGTGCTGCTGCTGTCAGCTGGTGAGTCACGGCACTGGGGAAAGCGGCTGCAGGATCCCAGGTGCACAGGAAGGACGATCCCAGGACACTCAGTGCCTGCAGCAGCGATTGTCAAAAGCAAACATCAAAGGAGGGGCAGGTGCGGCAGGGCTGGGGACGGCCCAGCTGAGAGCCGCTGGGAACATGCATACCTGCATCTCCCAGGGGAGGGGAGGGGAGGGAGGAGGGAGGACAGCTGGCTTCCCGTTGCGCCCAGTTTCCCTCTGAGCAAGTTGGGAGCTCAGGAACGCTCCCTGGGCTGGAGCACTGGGGAGGCTGAAGGGTACACAGCCCTGCTTTAGGATGTTCCTTTCCCTCCTCTGCACCAACCATTGTTGCTGTGCTGAGCCGCCACCAAGTCTCGAGCATGACAGAGAAACAGCTCTCAGGCAGGAAGCCAGAGCTGCCCACTGACAGCCTGGACAGGCTCCAAGAACAGCTGAACACAACAGCCCACTCCCCCTTCCCCTGTACCCACAGCCTCTGGGGCAGGGACACTGCTGCAAACCAGGAGACTGTGCCCAAGTGGGGAGGTTGGGATGTGCTCCTTGGTTGCTCTCACAGGCGGCTCTGGCTCCATTTTTCCCCACCCACAGGCCCTGGGACACAATGACCAAGTATCTCCACACCAGGTGTGCAGTCTCACCCTCCTCTGCCTGCCTGCCAGCGCATGGGAAGACTCTGTCACTGGGGCGTAAAGCAAGACCAGGTGCTGCCTGCTGGTACCACACCACAGCTCCCACCCAGCTCCCGGGAGGCGGCTGGAGCCGGGCCCGGCATGTACAAACACAGACCCGCTCCCTCCACCCACGCACGTGCCGGCACACACCCAGAGCATGCCCAGATGAACCCGTCCCTCCAGCTGTGCCCAGGCGTGGGAACATCTGCACGCTTCGTGTGCTCCAGCGCCGCCGGCAAAACAGCTCCATTACCAGATGAGACTCACCTGAACATTTCGGTTACTTCTCCCTTTGCCAAGGCCACGAGAAGCGGGAATCCAATGCAGGCGGGGACCAGGTACAGCAGCGCAGGCTGTGGGGAAGAAAAACAACTGTTAAACCAAACCACAAATCACCCCGAGGGAAGAGTGCAAGGCGAGCTCGTGGCCTTGTCCCCTCTGCACCCATGGTATCTGTCACATGGCTGCACAGGGAGTTAGTACCCCAAAAAGCAGCTCCAAGAGCTAAGTGAGAGCTGCAGCAGCATGAAGCTAGATTGGAGGAAATTCTCCTCCAATATCAGGAGGAAATTCTTCCCTGTGAGGATGGTGAGATCCTGGCACAAGCTGCCCAGAGAAGCTGCGGATGTTGTCCCTGGAAGCGTTCAAGGCCAGGTTGGATCAGGGCGTGGAGCAGACTGGTCTAGTGATTGGTGTCTCTGCCCATGGCAGGGGAATTGAAACAAGATGGTCTCCGAGGTCCCTTCCCAAACCATTCTGGGGTTCTGTGAAAATCCTCACTGTGAGGTCCCAGTGGGCCATGAATACACTGAGAGCCCCTGTGCAGACCACAGCGTAGGGGCTCCCAGATCTCCCTGCAGCACAGCCAGTGGGTGCTCAGGCCAGCTTGGTTGCAAAGAGCCAAAAAACACGGGGGCCCTGGCTGAGGGGCTGCTGCTGGAAACAAGGAGTCTTGCCCCAAGCAGGCTTCTGCTCCAGCTGGGCACAGGAGCTTTGGGCAGGGAAAGGTACTGGCAGACACTGGAAAATCAAAGCCAAGAGAAGGAATACATCTACTTTTTCCTGGCAGGATGCAGGAACTTTGTGGCCAAGCTGGCCTGACCCACTTGGATGTGCATCCACAGGAGGCAGCAGGGTGGAGCTCACCTGGGCATGCTTGAAGATGTGCATGATGAATATGGTGAGGCCCAGCCCAAAGATGTAGGCCACAAAGCTGGTGTAGAAATACGTGTGCGTGTTCTTCTTCAGGCTGTAGGGAAAGGAAAGAGCTCAATGACCTCCAGTCTGGAATGTCAGTGGCCAAAATGGAACTGGCTTGGTACTCTTAGCCACCTCCCACCATAGTGGAGCGTGGTGTGTGAGGCTCTGCTGTGCAGCCCCTGGTGCTGTGGGAGCAGTGTGGGACTGAAGGCAGTAATATCAAGGTGAAGGGCTGGAGAAGGGAAGAAGGCAAGTGATCCTGCTGCTGGATGGCAACTGGGAAGGCAGGAATTGGGGCTGAGACCCAGGGAGAAGGTCCCATTGTCTTGGTGGAGATGGGCCAGTCTCTGGCGCTCAGCAGTTGCTCTTTTATCACAGGGCAGCCTGCGGGAACTGGGATTCCCAGCAGGTGCAGGCAGGATGTGGGTGGTAACACCTGGAAGAGCTGGCACAGACCAGGGGGTCTGTGCAAGAGCAGTGGGAGTGGGGCCACACTGCTGCAGTCACAGAGCACCCCATTTCCTGGAGCCTTTCAGTGTGGGGCAACTGCTACAGCTCAGCTGTAGGTGCAGCTTCCCTATGTGGGAAGAAGCTGCTTCCTCCAATGTCAGTGGCAACCTGGAGGCAGCCAGCACTGCCAGGCACCGATTTGCATCCATGCAAGCACTTCCCAGGTGCAGCACCCTCGGCTCTTTCCCACGCTGTCACTGCTTCTCTCACTGCCCTCCACTGCTTGGAGCTGGAGAGGCTCTGTGGGGCTGCAATGTGCTGCTGCCCTGATCCCACAGCTGCCCTGATCCCCATCCTTATATGCTGCCTGTCCTACCTATGCTTCAACTCAACCACTCTCCCCCAGTGCTCAGGACATACCCACAGAGCCAGCACTCTCTTCTATGAGCTTTTCCTTACATCCCCTGGTGTGTCCTCACACCTAGATCCAGAAGGGAGCACATGACTGCACTCCTGGCTCCCCCCTTCCCTTTTATCCTCTACAAAAGCAGCTCAAATATGCTGCAAGATCCAACCTGCCAGAGACCCTTCCCTGCCGCCTGCTCACCTGATATCAAACCGCAGCAGCAAGGCAATGAAGATCCCTGCAGGGAGAAGGAAACAATGAGGGGGGCTGGAAGTGGCAGAGAAGGGACAGCGAGAGGCTAGAGGAGCAGGGAAGGGACAGCGAGGGGTTGGAGGGGCAGAGAAGGGACAGCGAGGGGTTGGAGGGGCAGGGCAGGCTGAGGGAGGCAGGGCAGGATCCGCCGTGCTCCGGTGCCATGCCCGGGGTGACAGTGCCCTCTCGTGGCACGCGGCGCCGGGAGATCACCCGGACCTGCGGGGAGACTCCCAACCCACCGGGAGAGCCACGCAGGACTTCGCCTGGCCAAGGGCAGAGCCAGGCAGCTGCTCGGCTCCCCGCAGCCCCCTCAAAGGAGACCCCAGTCCCATCCTCCCTCTTCTGTCCTCACCCGGAATGACGATGTCTCCCAGTCCCAGCATGGCGAAGTTATCGGCATCCAGCCCCTTCTCCAGCAGGTCCTGAGGGAAAACCACTGCGAGGAGCAGAGCAAGGCACAGTGAGGGGGAGTGTCCCCACTGAGCAGACCCCAACTCCACCGGGCCTGGCAAAGAGGGACCAGAGCAGGGCAAGGGACCTGTCACTGCCCTCAGCCCCCTCCTTCCCTGTTGCTTTCTTTGTTCTTTCTGGGACAATTCAAGGACGAGAAACCAAGGGGTTCCAGGACCCAAACTACTGCATGCTCCACAGCAGCACCAGTTCATTCCTCCTGCTGTTTTGGGACTCTGTGGTTTTATTTCTTTTCGTGGTGTTAATTTGGTATGGATTGTTTTTATGAGCAGGTGAAATTTCACACTCCAAAGGTGCAGAGTGACCCAAGCAGACCAGGCCTCTGCAAATCACTTTCCAGAGACCTGTCTTGGCTTGAGGCTGGCCAAGGACAGTGAGGAGGGGTCGCTAGCAGGAAATGTTCCTGCACACATCCCAGCCCGAGCCATCTCCAGAGGTGGACGGTACATGGGACAGGGCCTGCAGCAAAACAGATCTCAGCACACAGGGAAGATCTACTCACGTTTTATTGGGGCCTCGAATGATTTGGCAACTGTCACCATCACATTGGTGCCAAAAACCTAGAACAGAGGAGCCCAAGGTGACCTCAGCTGCACAAAAACACACACGTTCAGCTACAGCCTCACCCCAGGGCCAGGAGTGGCCTCAGTGGCAGAAAATAGCCAAAGACCTGCCAAAATGTGGGCTCAGGAGCCCTGCAAGCAAGCCCACAGTCTCGAGGAGGCATACAATGGCACTGGGGGAAATGGCTGCTTCATGGCTGTCCTGCTCTTAAGAGCAGCATGGGGACAGCATTCACATGGCAGAGCTGCTGCCCACCACCCAGCCTTGCACCTCAGTTCAGCTTTAATCAGTCAGCTCCATGTAAAGTCCAATTGGAGGACAGGAGCTTCCAGCAGAGTGTCCCGGCCTGGGAGCTTCCAGCGGGGACAGGGACAAGTGTTAGATCAACTGCAGTTTGCTCTGAGGTTATTTACTTGCATGGCCCTATCAGCTGTAAATACTGGCAGCATTTGGGGGGTGGACTGTAAACACTGAGGGCAGCAACCCTGATCTCTGCACCTTTCCATCTCCAAACCTTCGGTCCAGCAGGCACAAAAAACAGGTGCTGGTTAGCACCGGGTGAGCCAGATCCTGGAGACTTGGATTAAATGGAAATCTTAAAGCAACAGATTAACTCCCATAAGGTGCAGCAAGTTCTGAGCATTGCCATGGAGTGAAAGGACTTGACACTGGGATCAGGGAAAAGCATCACATGCCCCCCCCGCCCCCCAAGACTATGTGGGGGCAATAGCATCAACCCATTAAGATCTCTTTCCTCCTTGAAACCCTCTTGGGATCTCACTGTGATTGAATCCATGCCAAGATCCAAGTGACCAGTTCCTGCAGAGGGGCACAGTATGAGGGCCTCCACTCCAAGGCAGCCCTTCCCTATGTCTCCAGCAACATCCATGGAGATGCTAATCCAGGGAGAAGCTGAGGTAGGAGACAGCCAGCAAGTGGGGAACAGAGGGGTGCACTCACTGTCCCCAAAGCACTGCGAAGACACTCACACACTAAGCAGGGCCTGGGGCACCAGGTGTGCTAAGGCAGAAGGCTGAGTCCTCTCCAGCTGAGAGCTGTGGAGGAAGTGGCCCACAGGCTAAAAAAACCACAGAGCCCAGACTGTTAACGAGCCTGGGAAACAGGGGCACCACTGGTCAAGTACAAAACAACCCACAGTAGCCAGGCGTAAATATGGAGGGATTACACAGGCAGCTGCAGAGCTGCTGGACAGACCTCAATGTATACAAGGCTCTCAGACATTTGGAAACACGGTGATTCAGAAGGTGGAGGCAACAGGAAGGACTGGGGAATATGGACATTACAAGGAGAAACATTCTCCCATGCAAGAAGCAGAGCAGACGACTGCATTCCTGCCTTCCCCACCCCTCTTTCCTCTACAAAAGCAGCTCAAATACACTGCAAGAAATAAGGAAAATCTCAAAATAAAAAAGTCAAGGGTGCAGCCCTGGCTGAGGAAAAGGGACTGGAGGCATTCCAGGGTTTGGTCCTCTGTGCAAGAGAACAGAAGGACACTAACGAAACCAGCAGATGACAGAGCCAAGGCACAGCTCGTACAAGCAGGCTCAGTGTGACCCAAAGCAGCCTCCAGCCCACCCAACAGCTGTCAGGCCTTAGGGAAGACCATAGTGAGGAACACAGGACCGGATATGACACACACTGAGTACCCACAATAGCCCCGATGAGGTCCTTGCCAGCCCTGGGCCTGAGTCAGAGAATAAAACAAAACACACTTGATGAGCCACATTCTGTGCTATGGATTCTGTCATCAACCCTGCCACACCCCTCTGGGCTGAGAAAGTGAAAATCCTGACTTCAAGTGTGTGTCCAGTCAGTGTAGTGCCTCCAGAAAGGCAGAACGCTAGGCACATGCTTCCACCAATGGCCTGTGGAATGCTCCTGCTTACCCAGAAGACATCGTAGATGAAGAGGCCCCCAAGCAAGATGCAGCCAGTGCTGACATTGTTCAGGTGCAGCAGCTCCACCCCGTTGAGGGAGAATGCCAGCCCGAAGAGATTGTTGGCAATCCAGTGCTGAGAAGGACAGGAAAATGAGATCTGGGTCCCGCTGTACATGGAACCCTCACCTTGCATGGAAATGAGTCCGTGTCTGATCCAGCCCAGTCCCCAGCTGTGCCTCACTTACCTTCCTCAGCAGGTACCAGACCCCCACAACACTGCTCAAGGCCAGGCACACGAGATCCTTGGTGTCAAACTCATAATTCACTATTTCTGCAAGAAAACAGAGAAGTCAGATTTGGGGCAGGCTGGGCAGCTCCCCTTCCTGTGCAGGGCTGAGATGAGTGATTTCACAGCTGGGGAGCCCACAGTGCTCACATCCTAAACAAGGGACTGTACCCATGGTACACACGTGCAAACTGCCTGGGAATGAGCAGTGGGCCCTGGAAAGCTCAGACCTTCTCCTCCAGCCAGACTCTGCACATGGACAGCATCCACGGTCCTGCTGTCAATAAGGAAATTGGATTCAGGCACTGCCTAAGGCAGGGAGAGACCAATCTTCTCCCTCTTCCTGTGCCAGTTAACTCTTGGTGTATCACCAGAAATACTCCCTTACCAGTAAAGCTGCTACAAGGCAGGATATTTATCAAAGCATCTTCTGCCAGTGCAAAGATCTGGCCTAGGTAAGGCAGCACATACCAGTCAGATCTATGCTTTCCAAGGGGCTTAAATAATGGCTGTGCATTTAACAACAGCCATAGCTCCATCCCCACAGCACTCTGGGAGATGTTTCTGGGGTCTCCCTGCCAGCCACAGGCAGCACAGAGGCAGAATGCCAGCCCAGCTCTGCAGGGACACATGGGGCTCACTGGCTATGGAAGCTCAGTGGGGAGACCAAGAGCTGAGTCTTTGAGAAGGCTGCTTCAATGGGCTGAGAGTCATAAGACCAAAAAAACAAAAATAAAAAAGAATAGTAAAGGCAGAAAACATTCAGGCTCCCCTGAAAGACCGGCGAGCCAACGTACCCTCCTTGCTCTCCCCGGAGCCCTGGGTGAAGAGGAGCTGGTACTGTTTGTTGGGGAAATTTGCAGGGAAGAATCTGTTCATCATGGGGCTGAAACGAGAGGTGTAGAGAAGGGCAGTTCGACAGAAACCCTGCAAGATGTGCTGCCCAGCACCTCTGCATTTGAAGGGGTCCCACACCCCCTCCCAAGATGGGGGAACGCCATCTGCTCCATCAGGGACTGGCAGGAGCCACAGCAACTCATCCTGCACAGAGATCTGATCTGGCTATATGTGACAGTCCCCCAAATACTCCAGGGCAAGAAAATAGAGAATCACTCACAAGAAAGGAGGACCCACCCCATACCCCAGCAAACCCCCTATACTCCCCAGCAAGCCTCTGGGTACCAGCACGGGCTGGGCCACCAGTGACTGGCTCTGCTGCAGAGCCAGGAGCAGAGCAAAGCCTTTGCCCAGCACCAGTCTAGGGAAAGCATCTGGTCCCCAACGCCCCAGAGCTCAGGAAACAGGAAACCAGTTTGACATTTTCAGTTACTGAAACAGCCTGAGCTTTCAACACCTCATGCCATGCATCGCCACGAGACGCCAGGGACATTACCAGCTCCAGCTGCCTGTGTCACCTATTCCAGTAAGGGTGCTGAAGAGCTCTCCCCTCTGCAGGGTAGCAAGGACTGTGCCCAGAGGGGTTTAAGCGGGGTATCAGGCAAAGGCTCTTCACTCAGAGGGTGCCTGGGCACTGTTACTGACTCCCCAGGGAAGTGGCCATGGCCCCAAGCCTGCCAGATTTCAAGAACTGTTTGGAAAACAATCTCAGGAACATGGTGGGATTTTTGGAGTTGTCCTATGGAGGGTCAGAAGTTGGACTTGATCGTTGTAGGTCCCTTCCAACTCAGGATATTCTGATTCTGTGATTCTGAGCCAGAGAAGCTCCTTAGGGTGAGCTAATCTTGTCCCATGATGGTGTCCACTGACACCTCCACAAGCTCTCCCAGTGGTGCTGTACAGGATGCTGGCTTCCCAGGACCCTTAGGGCTTTGGTTCCCACCATCAAGGGACAACACCCTAAGAGGCTGGGCAAATACCTTAAAGACCTGGCTCTGCTGCAAGGCAGTGGCGCTCTAAAAAACTCCCAATAAAATGAACTGAAGTCTTGGGTAGTCCTGCCCCAGTCACATCCATCTTTGTGCTATACCTGATAGTATGGGACAGGGCCAGGATCCCCAGCACAAAGAAATACATGGAAAGCAGAAGATTGATGTACTCTTGAGAGAATATCTGCAAGACAAAACCACAGAGGAGTTAGTTACCACAGCATTCTCCCCATCCTGATGCTCCTGTTGGCAGCTGCTGTGTCAGTGCTCCAGGGAGATGAGAAGAATAGCTAGAATAACCCAAATTCCTGCATGCTGAGGGAGAATATGTTGGAAATAGCCATGTACTCAAAGAACAAGCACAATGGGCCCGGGAGCTGTTGTGCATCTGTGAGCTGCTCAGGTCAAAAAATAACTCCAGTGCTGCAGAAAGGAGGCCAGAGCTTCCCCCACAGAGCAGGGAGAGAGCCACTGATCCCAGGGGCGGCCCAGGGGAGCAGCAGCATCCCCTGCCCTAATTAAATAGGGCGTTATTAAAACTCCTGCCCTCCAAGTCATGCTCCCTTACTGAATCACACCCCCATAAACCAGTGTGGAAGGATCCTGGGGCCCTCCATGACCTCCTGGAGAGGGGATGTTGGAATTGGAGAGCACATGGCACACAGCTATTGGCAGAGAAAGGACTGAACTGTACCATTCCCAACTCTGCATCTTAACTCTCACCTCCTGGACAGCCAGGAGCACCCTGGCACCTTGCAGGTATCCCAAAACAGCACAACTGAAAGCTGCCATGTCCACAGGACCACTCTGTGCTGCAGCTCTCTAGACCCCTCTGGGAGCTCAGCCATGTGCCAGACCTGCACGGGCAGCCCAAGGTGTTTGAGACCAAGATATCTTCTCCATACCACCAAAAGCACGTGCTGCTGAGAGCTCCCATCCATTCTTCAGGCCATCTGACTCTGCCTGTGGGCTCTGAACGTCTGAAAGACTTCACCTGATCACACAGGGGCTCCCCCAGGCCTGCAGCCGAAATGGCTTCAGGAGCATAGCATGGAACACAACACAGCCAACAGCATTCGCCCCTCAGAGTCACTGGCACCCTCTGGCTCCAGCCTGTGCCCTGTCAGGTTGGCCCATGGAGGCAGGAAGAGCTCAGGGCTATTTGCTCCTCGGCAGCTCTCCAGAAACAACCTGTGCACAAACAGGCTCTGATTTCCCCCAAGCTGTGACAATTCAGGCAAGAACTGACGTCCTCCTGCCCGGTGACACCAAAGAGCTCGTCTGTGCAGCCTTACACACCTTCTGTCCCAACACTAAGGGCCAAAAACAGAGTCACCCCATTATGGGAGCTCCTGCCAGGAAGAAGGACGTCCTGCCCTAGCTCCAGTGCCACTCACTCACTTTAAAGAAGAGGTAGAGCCCTAGGAGGGTGCAACTGGCAACAATGGGAAAGCGAGCAGCGTCTCGACTGGTAATGGTCTCTGGCATCTCCGAGGAGTTCTGGGGAGAGAAAGATAGAACAGGAATGAATCAGCCCCTGCTCTGGCTTCACACCTGAGCAGGGGATGAACAGACAAAATATACAGGGCTCCACAGTGGTTTTGAGAGTGACAAAACACCCACTGGCCCCTGCGATACCTGGAGGTGAGGCTGTGTCAGAGGCAGAGCTGGAAAACACAAACCTTGCACTTGTCCTTCCCAGGGCAGCCACAATTTACTGCTTTTCTCCACTTGGAGAAGGAAAAAATCCTGTGCTGGCCCTGTTCCTTTCTCCCCTGCCCAGAGGGAAGCTGGGCTCCCTCACCGCTCACGCCCAGCCAGCCCCATCTGTGCCACCATCTGTGATCACCCTGTGCACGACGCATCTCTCCAGCCACCTTCTCATCCCTCACCTTGCTCTTGGGACACTTCTCGTGCTCAAAAGCCCCAGATTTATAAATCCCTTCTAAGACATCTTTGCACCAACTCAATCAGTCCTTTTCAAGCTATTTCCCATGGGAGACCTTCAGCTTTCAGTGGCAGAGGGCTGCCTGTTTTCTGCCTGTTCCCTGCCCACTCCAGGCCCAGCTGGCTGCTGCTCAGAGATCTAATCTCACTCAGGCAAACACCTGCGGCTAGCACAGATCGAGGGCACCTCAAAAGCCCTTGTGCAGCTTATCCCAGGCATGGCCGTTGTCATGCTGTGCCCATCAGGGCAGAGGTACCCAAATTCCTGCTGCTCCCTACAGAGTGAGACACGAGACCCCCCGACCTGAACCACGGCTGGGATTTGCTCATAGTCCCCCCACTGCCTGGGCTGCCAGAAACCCCCCAAGATCAGCTGAAGCCCCTGATATGAGGCTTAAGGGCACACAAGGAGATTTTAAAAATAGTAATAGATCAGACTGTGTAAAACAGTCCTTCCTCCTGAGCTACAGCAGCCCGGCCGTTAGGATTAAATTCCTGCTATGAAATGCAGAGAACAGCGGGAGGAATACCAGGACAGAACAGGGTGTGCAGGCAGGAGAGCATCCCCGGACCAGCCCCAGCGCCGCGGGGCATAGCCACACACGAGTCCCCGCAGCACAGCTCCTCTTGAGGAGGGACAAGGGACAGTTGTGTTTTGCAGCACTTGAATTTATCGGGGCGGTAAGACCGTGGCTGGAGAAGCCCCGGGGGAAGCCAGCTCTCTCCCCGGGATCCCCTGCGCCTCCAGGCCCAGGGCCGGGGCCAGGACGGGGGACATGCAGCTGCCGGTCCGCCCGTGGAAAGGGGCGCCCGGAGGGGACCCTTGGGGAGGGGCGAGGCCTATAGGCCCGGCTGCCCCGAGCCGCGGGGGTACCTTGCTCTTGGCGCAGCTGACGGAGCGCAGCGCCCCGAAGAAGATGGGCAGCAGCGCCATGAGGACGAGGCTGCCGTAGGCCAGCGCCATGCCCTCGGGGGTAGCGGGCGGGCGGGCAGGGGTCCCAGCCCCGGGCGCGGCCCCGGCGGCGCTGCCGTTGTGCGCCGCGGGTTCCTCCATGGCGGCTGCTCCCACCGCGGTCCGCACCGACACGTCCCCTTACCGGCCGGAAGTGCGTCACGCGTGGCGGCGCTGAGGCCGGCCCCGCCCCGCCCGCCCCACCGCGGTCCGCACCGACACGTCCCCTTACCGGCCGGAAGTGCGTCACGCGTGGCGGCGCTGAGGCCGGCCCCGCCCCGCCCGCCCTGCTGCCAGGAGAAGGGCAGAGCGCGGCGCCGCCGGCCAGGCCTGGGGCCTGCCCGGCCCTCCCTGCCTGATCCCCGCTGTGTGAAGGGCGGGGGAAAGCCCCAGGAGCTCCCTGCGGGCACGGGTCCCGGTTTCCCGCAGCGCCCCTGGAGCACGAGCAGGGAGGTGGCAGCTCCTCCCGAGCGACATGGGTTTTCCTGGCCTTCAGCGTTTTCCAACGGTGTGCCCCTGTTCTTCGGAATGTCCCTGACTGCTCCCAGCCCACTAGTGGTCACAGCAAACAGCCCCTCTATGAAATGCCTTATAAATGGCAGTAAATTCTCCCCACGCTCTGGACTGGGACCAGGGCTCTGCTGGAAAATTGGCCGAAATGTGTGTTTTCCTCACAAATACTTCAAGCCACTGGCAGCTCGGCTGTGCCACCAAGCCTTCTACTCCTCCTCCTCGCCGGGATGAAAGTCTGCTGAGGAGCAAAAATTGGTGAAGATTTGAGCTCCGTGAAATGGTGCTGCCCCCAGTTTAGATCTGAGCCATGGGCAGGAGATGGGAGCACAGCAGGGATTAAAACACGTTTTCAGTTTCTTTTTTTTTTTAATGTCTTTTAAATTTTATATTTTAAATAAAAGGAATCTATTTCAGGACCGGGGTGATTCATAGTTCTGTGTTTCAGGCGGAGGGCAGATGGGAAGGCCTCCTGGGAGCCCCTCTCTGCGGGGTTGGCCTCTTGCCCAGGATGCTGCCCTCTCCCTGTGACTGCTGTTCCCAGAGCGGAGAAGGATGGGCAGCAAAAGGCACTGTGCCCACACAGCCCCCTGCATCCCACCCTGCTGCCTGCCATGGCCCAGCCTGGCACAGCACAGCTCCTGACCCCATCACTGCCCCCTTCTAAACCCCATCCTAGCTTGGGAATCCTCACAAAGGGCAGCGTTGCAGCTGTGCACAGAGAGATGGGGGAGTCCAGGGCTGCTGTCCCAGGGTCCCGTGGAGATGGGAGCAGGGTGGTGGGCACTGGGGCTGGTGGCCACCCAGGGATGGGTGGCATTGGGACCGATGGCCACCCAAGGACGGATAGCACTGGAGCCAATGGCCACCCAGAAGTAGATGGCACTAGGAGAGCCCCGAGAGCACTCCCTGGAGCAGCTGGTACCACTGAGACCTGGCATCACCTTCCCCGGCAGTGGGCCCAAATGGGGGACACAGGCAGTCCCTGGCCCCCTGCCAGCACCTCCCCCTTCCACCCTCCCTCTTCCTTCCACCCTCGCTCCGTTTCCCAGCGCCTCACCGTGGCCCCCCTTGGCCTCTCCTCCCACTCCTCCCATCCTCCCGCACGGCCGCATTTTTCTGGGTTTGAGCTCATTCTTTCCACTCCCCTCTCTGCTGACTGCCAACTTTCCATCCCATGGCCCCCCTCCCCCGTCTCCTGCCACAGGGAAACACCAGCTGCAGCTGCGGGAGGGACCGGCAGCAGCAAGGAGCCCCGGTCCCTCGGGTGCAGCCCCCAACCCCGGCGTGGCTGACGCTGTGTGAACCACAGCAGCGCCTCCAGAAGCACCAGGAATCGGCGAGCCGGGAGCCCCAGGGCAGAGCAGTAGGAGCAGAGCAGCGGCAAGGATGGAGCAGCAATGCCATGGGCACTAAGCAGCATGGAAAAAAAAATCTGAGCACCCACCTCCCCGTTTCTGAGGGCAAAGCTTGAGATTTGCACCTCTGGTGAGACTAGTTTCCCATAGGAACAGGGTGCTGCCCTATTCCAGTGTCCCATTTGTGCCAGCCACAGCCAGTGGTTCCCCACGGTCTGACCACAGAGTGAGTGGAAACTCCTGACCCCGGTACGAGGGCACTGCTGATCCTCCCCGGCATCAGGCCCAGGATGCTGAGCAGGTTCCCCCGTGGTGTCCCAGTTGCTGGATGGCAGCACAGCCTAAAAACAACAGGCAAAGCCCATAGAGCTCCAGCATCGCCTCCCAGGGGTCACTCCCTGCTTGCTGCAGCCAAGCACGTCCCTTCCTAGCTGTGCCATTCTGCTTGGCTCCTGCTCCCTGCCCCTTCCTGGGGCAACAGGAGCCACTAAGTGCCCGGCTCCCTGCCCAGGCTGTGGCTCTCACCGTGCTGAGGGGCTTTAAACCTGCAGCTCAGCAGAGCTCAGGTCTTCCCAGAGGCTTTTCCAGAGCTGGGAAATGCAGGGGGCTTCACAGGGGACGATGCTGGACCACTGGGTGAGGAACTGGGACCTCCACCAAGGGTGGCCAAAGGAAGCCCTGGACAGAGGCTCTCCCTGCTCTAAGATAGTCCAGCTAATAAAGGAGCCAGCCAAGACCTGGCTAGAGCAGGAAGCAGATCCTCAGCCCTCGCCATAGGGAAGGAACAGAGCTTCAATCTGACCATGTAGCTCTGGGATGTGACTCTCCAGGGCAGGGACCCAGCAGAGAACAGTACCTCCCTGATGCGGTTTATTCTGCAGATCAAGGGTTTCCCCATCACACCAGTACAGAGAGAGCACAGAAACACTGGTGTCAGTGAGACATGGCACAAAGCCCTGGCACAGCAGGGTCAGGGTGCCAGGTGATGCCACTGCTGCTCCCCTGCCCCCTCTTCCCAGCCAGGCTCCAGGCTGCCCAAGATGGACAATGCCACTGTGTCCTTGGCAGTCCCTGCTGCCCTGCAAAGGACGGCACTGTGAGCGGGACCTGCCACACTCCTGCTAGCCTCCAGCCCTGCTCTGGGGCACAGCTGCTCCAGGAGCAGCTGTGATCCAAAATCTCACCACCCCAAGTTCAGCTACCCATCCCATCCTCCACTCCATGAACCTGGTCCCACTTATCCCCTCTCCTGGAGGGGAGTGGCTGGATCCAGAGCACCTTCACATCCCTCAGCACCAGTGAAAACAGTTCCAAATCCTCAGCATCACTCCAGCTCTGTCTGAGCTCTCCACAGAGCCACTGGCCACACTGCTGGCAGAGAGCAGAGTCCCAGCTGGCATGTGTGGAGGGACAGGACTGTGGCTCTCAGAGCACAGACAGGTCATGGCAGGACTTGGAACGGACTTTGAGGGCCACTCTGCTGCTGTTCCTGGTCACCAGCCTGTCGAGGAAGTGCCGGGCTCTGCTGGCGAGGCTCTCCTTGTGTTTCTGGCCAGGCGTGGGGTGCAGGTGGGACTTTTTACCCCCTTGGCGCAGGCGGATCTGCCGCACCACCCCCTCGAAGAGCTCGGCCACGTTGTGCTGCAGAGCTGCCGACGTCTCAATGAACTTGCAGTCGAAGACGGCGGCGCAGGCCTGACCCTCTGCAAGGGAAGGGCAGGGAGATGCACGGCCCTGCTGGCACCCCAAAATGCTATGGGACGGGCACTGCCACATGCACAACAGCAGCTGCACGTCCAGGGGCAAGGGGACAGAAGTGGGTGAAGCAGCTAGGCATGGAGCCCCTTCAGGGGTCTCCACCAGCCAGAACCTTTGCTCCCTACTCACCTTCCTCGGACACCTCACGGCACCGCACCAGGTCAGTTTTGTTGCCCACCAGGATGATGGGGATGTCCTCAGCCTGGCGTGCACGGCGCAGTTGGATGCGCAGCTCTGAGGCACTCTCGAAGCTGTCCCGGTCAGTGACAGAGTAAACGATGATGTAGGCATTCCCTATCTGCAGGCAGTGGCTACGGCGCTGGCTCTCCTCACCCTGTCACCACATGAGGAACAAGATGTCACTAATCCATGGCCATGACCACTTCTAGGGGACAGCAGAGCACCCTGGCACTGATGGGACCAGTCAGTGCACCCTACCAGCCCCCACATTGTGGAGAACAGATTTGTTACCTTATTAATTAAATGAAGATTAAAAGCTCTTGATTTTTAGGGGAGTGTTTGGGAATTTTCCTCTCTACCAACAACAAACTGGGGCTGTGGGCTCAGCTTGGTGTGGGGAGGTGAGGGAATGCCCTGGGACAGTGTGGTGGATGCTGCAGCCTGCATGATCCAGGCAGTGCTGGGCAGTATGAAATAAGCCATAGCAAAAAAAAAGGGGGCCATTGTTGGGGTGTTATAGTGCTGGGGCATCTCTGGGCAGTGCAGGTAAGTGCAAACACAACCTCAGTGCATGCGGGTGCTGCACCCCTGTCCACAGCTTGGGCACTGACTCCATCCCCACTCCCAAGGACTCACTGCCTGGTGGCACCTACAGGAATGCAGGGCCCTGGCATGAAGGGAAGGAGGGAGGCTGTAACAGCAGCGCTGGTATTTCTGTCCAGGAGATACCTCATGTTCTGGGCATGAGGAATGCCCTGTGCCAGGCTCTTGGGGGAACGGTTCTGGCCGTTAAAGTGTTCTGGCTGATGATACCAACTCGTGGATTTACCCGCACTCGTGGATCCTTCAGCCCCATTCCCAAACCATTTCCATGCATTTTGAAATAGATTATCATATAAGAACCCACACCAGTGAGAACACAGAGGGCAGCCTCCCATGCCCGCGGAGGGTGAGCACAGAACTGGGCAGAGATGTGACCCCAGCCTGTCTTGCTCAGTGTGTATCCCGTGCTCCACGGTGGTGAGCCCCAGACACGGATAGGGGGCCTCCAGGTTGCCCTTCAAAGCACGCAGAGGCCCCAAAACAGCACTTGTGCCCATACAATGTCCCCTGAGCACATCCTGGCACACCCCAACACCCAGCCCCACCGTACCCGCTGCTCTGGCTCCCAGGTGTCCAGCACCAGCAGCGTGGTCTCCTCGCCATCCACGGTCAGCCTGCGCTCGTACGCAGCCCCTGCGGGACACCAGGAGAACGCGGTCAGCGCCGCACTTCCCAGACAGCCGGGTCCCGGGCTCCTGTCCGCCTCGCACATGAGGTTGTCCCATC